AATAATTAATTAAATGTGTCAATAATTAAAATGTGAAATACATAAATAATTAATTAAATGTGTCAATAATTAATTAATTACATGTGTCATAACTATTTATTTAATTAATTAATTCCAATTTTAATTAATTATTGCCACATTTAATTAATTATATTATTGTATTTGTATTTAATTAATTCATTATGGCAGTCCTGGCGCTCCATAGTAATACCAAATGTGTTCATGCCAAGAAAAGCAGGAGTGGTCATTTGTAACAACACATGTAGATTCTAAATCTCAGTTTCTTACTATGACATTTTCCCTCTGATGTCTACTGGTTTTGGTTTACTGCTGTCAAGTTATCAGACAGAAAAGGAAACAATGTTCCTTCTTACCTATGAGTGTGATATTTGGGTTCCTCTTCTTGGCCTCTTTCATAAGCCACCACTCGTAGCCTCTGTAGTAGTTCTCATCATTTTCATAGCGCATGTGAGACGGCTCTGTTCCATCTGATCAAGTCAGAGGTTCAATAATACCAAAAAATGGAGAGAGTCAGTTTATTCTTGAAGTTATACTATGATCCAAAGTGTCTATCACGACCCCAGCACCAAAATATGTGGTAATTATAGCCAATATCCTGTCCATACAAGACTTTAAGATCCATATGAAGCAGATGTCCAAAGTGTTTCCTTGTTAAGAAGGAATTTATGTCATTCTGCTGGACTTTAGCTGTGTGTCATAATGCATTTCAGACCTGGCAGCAGAGAAATGGAAATGTAACAAGTAACAAATTAGAAACTGTCAGAAATGTAGTGTGACTAAATGTACTTTACCAGTAGTTTGCGCATCTCCTCCGATCTCCACCTTCAGAATGTGCAAAGAAGCTCCAAAGTTTGGCTGAAAATAGGAACACAGAGCAGTGAGTTCCCGTGCTTAAAACTGAACTGTGTGAATGAGTTGCTTCTGTCGTACCTTAAACAGGAAGTCTAGTATCTGGCTGCGGTACGGCTCCGCATAACTCACCAGTAACCGAGACGTCGCCTACATTAAGGCACACGTAGAAATGTTATGTTAGTAAAATAATAAGCTAATCAGAGAAACAGAAACATGCAGGCAGGCATGCATAGATCAGATTGTTGCTGTGGAGGCAGTGTTGTACAAGGAAGTACTCTAGTAAAATACACTAAACTCACCCCTCCGCCGCTTAAACCTCCAATTCCATCAAAAACCCTTCCCAGACCCCCGTCATCGCTCAGGACATAATTCTGAGCAGAGCACAAATCCAAAGCCAAGAGGAGAACGGACACTAATAACGCCGACTCTCTGCAGTCCATCCTGAGCGCTAGCTGACAAGACACTGTAGGCGCGCGCACATTCTCTATCACATGACAGCGCAGCTGAGCGGCCACGTGACGTTGAAACCCGTCACACCGGTACTTACTTTTAAACGTTTATTTCGTTCTACGAACTTCCGCAATTTAAAAAAATAATAATCTTCAAACAGTGTTCGCAATGATTTTTTTAAGGATACACACGACCCACCCTTAAAATCCGGGGAAAAACGGTGAGGCATTTGTCTGCTGCATTAGAAGAGGCTTTTTTGTTTTGTTTTTTTTATTGATGCAAAAACAAGAATTAATATATAACAACATGGCTCCTGCAAGATTCCTTTGGAGCAGGTGATTACAAGAAATTAGCTTTCAGTTTTTTAAAAAAAAGGAAGAGAAAATAAAGGGGTAAATTTGGGCTTACTAACTAAATCACATTCTTCAGTTGTGTTCAAAGGTTTCACTGCATCTTTTGTTCTCATAAAATAAGGGCTTTAAAGTATGAAATAAAATTTTTACAAAAGCCAGCTTTGTATGTTTAGATCTGTGTATTTAAAATGTACAAAGAGTGATTATAGCATTCACCAGAAAGTCATCTTTGCTATTGTGCATAATGAGTCCATAAACAATATCCCTTTTAGTGAAGTCTTCTAGATGAGAGAACTTGTAAAGTAATGGGTTATTAAATATATTTATTGTGAAACAAATTAAAGCAAGTCTAATTGAAAAACAAGACTGAAATGAGGAAAAACCCATCAAATGACATATTCATTGTTAAAAAATAAAAATAACACGATTTGTGTCACGGACCCGGCTCTGGAGGACTCGGGGGTCCGTGAGTAGTGTTTATTATTATTATGATTATTATTATTACTACTATTTGGGGTCTGTGTCGTCTACTGTTCTGTCCACGTTTGTATGTAGAGTGTGTGTGCGTGTCTGCTTCTCTCTCTCTCTCCCCCCGGTCCTCGGGGCTGTGGGAAAGACGTGACCTGGCGACTGTCGTCATCGGGAGTCCCTCCTCCAGTTCTGACAAAACGTCCTACCCATCAAGCTGCCCTACTTGTTGTTACTGCGCATGCGCACAATTCAAAACGGCCATGTTTCTGAGTGCTACATAATTGTGACAGAATAAGGTTATGAGAGACACACTGGAATTTGGGAAGAAATCTAGGAATTCGCCATTAACCATATTCAAATCTGCCCTCATAATTACAGAAGCAGTTTGGTAGTAGCCTACGATTATCAATAGCAACAATGATGTCAGAGAAAAACTGTCTATTTTGAGATGGGTTATTAAATTCATATACACTGATTAGGAAGTTATAACAATCTCAACTGTGTGATGTCTCTTTAAGACAACCCAAGTTAATGTTTAGTGATAAGTATGTGCTACTGCCCTCTGTAGAGTGTGGGAAAAACGTGCTTACACATTGACACATGGACTGAGATGGACCTCGTTTTTTCAGCTCCCAAACTCAAAGTAATGTTACAGGTTGTATGAACACTGCTTGCTCCATGTAAGACAGCAGCGGTTGGTGAAGAGTGTGTTTATTAAAAGACGAACACTGTGGAATTTCCAGTACCAGTGTGGTCATGAGTGTCCTGCTGAGTGTTTCTGCGGCCTCCTCTCAACCACTTAATACAACCCACTTTACAAATTAGTAATGTTTATCCATGTTTATAACACAAATTACCCAGTGGTCACTGTTGTCATGTTTCGCTGTGTGGCAGGCAGGAGAAAGGACCCACATACAGGAATTGAACATGGAAATGTAACTTAAAATGGTAGCTTTATTGCTGGGAAAAACACTCCATTAAATAAACACATGAAAAGCAAACCAACACCCTGAACATGGAAACTAAGAATTAACACTGGAAAACTAGGAACTTGCTCAGGAAGTTGCTGAAGCAAAAGTAGTTCGGCGAGGTCATGAAACTCAGGTCTGACTCAAAGCGATTCTAGCAAACCATCAGACAATTCAGAAGGGGAATATAGTGCATTATTTACACAGTGGATAGTGGCAGTTGGGGTAATACTGATTATAACTGGGGATATAGACAGGCGGTGGAAGGAATACTTTGAGGACCTCCTTAATACCACTGACAAAGAAGAGTCTGGGGACAGCTCATTTTCTTTTCCTTTCAGGAATCAACTTAGCTGTGTGTAGCTTCTGGCTGAGCTTGCTGCTGTGTCCTGCTGATCTATGACAGGGCAGGACCAGCCCCACACAAGGAATACTTTATTCAAACTTGTCAGCTTCATTTTCTCATGCTGGGGATTTTTTCTTATTTGATCAATACTTGATTGTAAACTAAATCTAAGAAACCCACTGAACTGAAAGAAATCCACTTGTGAATATCTTTACAGTTTAATATTGGAACAAGCTGTCATACAAGAACAGAAACATGCTTCATTAGAATTCTTTGAATCCGAACTGTTTCCAAAAGGGTTTGTATAAAATTACAAAAAGGTCTGAACACCCCCTCAGACCCTCTGCCAGGGTTATACTTATTGCTTTCCAATTAGCATAAGCATTATTTATTTCTAGGTTCAGAATTTCTAACAGTAGTTATTATGGTCCGTGAAAAACATGTCTTTTCTTTTTAAACTAAGCCTCCTGATAATGATGCCAAGTATCGTGTCAATGTGTAAGCACGTTTCTCCCACACTCTACAGAGGGCAGTAGCACATACTTATCACTACTAGTGTAGTAGCAGCTGTCTGATTTTACAAAGAAAGATAAACCTATACTATGGGAAAAATATGAAGCGACTAAATGGGTTGCTTGATAGGACCAGATTTTACAATCCCTAAAATAATTAGCACAACTCTTGAATGGGTTGGGGGGGGGGGGGGGGGTGAGGTACATAAATAAGCAGCATGGAGAAGTGATAGCAAAACAGCATCTGCAGACTGTTCAAGTCTTTAAGTAGGGATGGGTATCGAAAACCGGTTCTTGTTGAGAACCGGTTCCCACTGTTTCAATTCCTTGGAATTGTTTGCCATTTTTGCAAACGATTCCCTTATCGATTCCAGTCGCCCCGAATGATGTCACCACGTTGCGGAGCGTCATTTACCTGGCAGGAAACATGACAGCACAAACGCTAAAAAGTTTGGTCATACTTTACGAGAACAACAGGGCAACTTGCAATACTTGCATAGTAGATATTTCATCTAAGGGAGGAAACACTACGAATATGCAAAAGCATTGCTCACAAAACACACGATAACCTTAAATGAATGTCGTGATTTTAATTCCGCTCCAGACTCGTGAATCTCAACCCAGCAGCAGCGGTAACGTTTGTACGTCCTCTCCCGTTAATGCAGCAGGTAAATAATCAACTAACAGTGCATATTATGTTAGTGTGATCTGCCTTATTACAAAACCTGCCATTACTGTGAGCTGCATTTAGGTGACCATGATGAGAGAGACAGACAGAGTCTGGCTGGCGTTCGCTGGCAGTTCTTGCTGTAGTCTACCGGTAGCGTCTCCTTTCAGGCCAGGATAGACGAATGTCACCGAGCAGTGACTAAGTTTGTGGTCAAAGGCTTGCACCCATTTGCCACAGCAGATGCCCTCAAATTTTCGGTAAGGGAATTTGTTTAATTGTAGGCAGGGACATTACTGGATATTCTTGTGTAATTGTTACAGAATAATTTATGTTATACTTTGTTATTGCTACAGAAGAATATTTATTTTATTATTTTACATTTACAATTTTTTTCCCCGGGGACCCTGTGACACCCCATTGAAGAGCCATAGGCTGGATCTCTTAATATCTCACTGTTGGGTTTGTAAGGCCATGTTACTCCTAAATTTCTATCTTGTTCAAAGGGAAGATATAAAACAAAGTTCTAAGCTAATCGACCTTAGTGTTCTCCTTTTTTTTAAAAGAATCGATAAGAGAATCGATAAAGAATTGACTCGTTAAACAGAATCGAAAATGGAATCGGAATCGTGAAAATCTTATCAATACCCATCCCTACTTTTAAGTGTTCTTTATTTTCTAGCATTGCCTTTCAACAAATGTTTCACAAAACATAAGAACCTGACAGTCAAAATCTCACCTGCTTTATACAGAATTCCATTCACATCTGAACCTCATTAACCTCTACCATCGAGAATATAGGGTAGGCTAAATAACACAGTCTAGACAAAGAAACAGGAATAAAATCATTTTTCCACGTAACAAATAATAATAATAATAATAAATAAATAAATAATAATAATAAATGCATGAACTAGTTTTTCAGTGTCACTCTGAGACAGGATATTTCTAATTTTAGAGATGTTGCGCAAATGGAAGAACGCAGTCTTACATATTTG